TTTTTTTCTGGAAATTCTGCTGTGTCAACCAACTCCTTTTGGTACAATGACTCTGTATATTTCTCACATCTTCTTTTAATGCACCCTGGATCATTCAATATTCTGTCCATATCATCCTTAAGCATTGCAACTTGTGGCTTGAATTTATTCTTTAGTTCCTTCAGCTTAAGAAATGCTGAGCTAGTTTGGCCCTTTTGATGTTCCGACTCCAGCTCTTTGCACATTTCATTATAATACTTTGCCTTGTCTTCCTGAGTTGCTATTTGAAATCTTCTATTCAGTCCTTAACTTCTTGATTTCTTCCTCCTGCTTTGGCTTCTTGGCATTCTATTGAAATATTCAAAGTCTCTTCTGGCATCCATTTTGGTCTTGTCTTCTTCTTCCTTCTTTGTGATAACCTTTTGTCTTCTTCATGGATGGTATTTCATATTACAAGTCAAGTAAATGAACAGAAGTAGTATGTTGGCCTGTGATTTTTCTGTATGTTCCACAATGCTAGGAGATAATGTCAAGTCTAAAAAGTCTTGAGGAAAAGCAATTATAGCACAAGCATTTGAGACTCATTCAAAATTTTCTTTCTAGCATAAAAAGAAAATAGGTGGTATTTTCACCATACAACAGCTCAAAGGTTACAAAAACCAGACATCTTTCTTGAATGCTAATTGTGATGACATATAGGAAAAAAAGAGATAAAATGAAATCAGTTACTCAGGAATAAATCCCTGGTATTTTTTTCAGAACTCTAAGTAACTACTAAATCCATTTAAGTAGCAGAATCATCTATATACTCCAATCAATAAAATAATTTTCTACTAACACTTTTAATGGGAAACAAAAAAAAGTCATTCTGAACTGATTCACACTATTAAGGGCTAATTTATTACATGATATTTTTAAAATATATTTTCTCTTCATAAACTTTATATTCTTAATCTAGTTCTGCCTCATTTTTTTGTATTAATTACTATAGAATTTCCCCATTTCATACATACTTTCCCAATTTGATCTATCTTCCTCAAGTTAGTCATATAACTCTTGTTGATAATATAAACTTTATCCAAGATACTCCTTTCAAAGGCATCTCATAGCATTTAGAATTAAGTCTAATCATTGCAAGAAGCATACATGGCCAGCTTTGGCCTTATCTATATTACCTCACCTTAGCCTTTAGATTATTTGTTTTATCTATGATGAACTTGTTGTTCCAGAACTATATACATTTACACTTATCTGTGTGTCTTTACATATAGAGTTATCATTTTCTATCCCTCAAAAATGTCCTTTTTCTTCAGTTCTCAACTCAGAAAATGCCTTTGGGTCATCATTTCCTCTTACCTGTCCTTGTGATAAGGCCTCCCTTCCCATGTGATTAATTAATTCCTTAGAAATTTCTTTGTCATAAAGTTATCATGTGGCTTGTTAAGTAAGTGTATATATTTCCATTATTTGTTTTAGTGCATCTTCATACACATTCTCTTAAAAAAAAAATCATGATCCTTTCTTGAGCTGGTTAATTTGACCATTTTACATGCCTACCAATACTCCTTTAAGTCTCAGTTTATATTTCAGGTCTTTTCAGGAGCCTATTAATTTAGTTCAAATTAAATGTTCCTGCTTTATTTCCCCTGCCCCCTCTTCCCAGCATCAAGCTTATACTTCTAAGTCCAGGTCATACTGTATAATGCCTTTTATAATAGTTACATCTGCTTCGGGCACAAATGATGAATTTGGAGAAGATAAGTTATTCTTTATTCTTTCCTAAATGCCTCAAGACACCGAGCATCGTATTTTAGTAAGAGCTCAGTTACAATAATGCTTGGGAAGAGTATCATGAAGAGAACATCAGCATGACTTCTGTCCCACAGTCTCTCAAAGTATATGAACACACCATAATTTCTCAATCCATTCGATTGTGATTGGACATTTGGGCTATTTCCAAGTTCTTGCAATGGTGAATAATGCTGCTATGAACATTGGTGTACATGTCTCCATTTGTGGCTCATTTCTCATTTTCTTGGGGTATATTTCAGGCAGTGGAATAGATGAATCATATGGAATTTCTATGTTCAGATCTGAAGAAATGCCAAACTGCTTCCAGAGTAGTTGTACCATTTTACAATCCCACCAACAGTATATAAGAGTTCCTATTTCTCCACTTCCTCTCCAACATTTATTAGTTGCTGTCCTGTTAAACTTTATCACTGCGACTGGAGTAAGATAGAGCAATGATTTTGTAAATCACTGCCTAACTTGGGAGGAACTGGACAGCATTATGCTAAGTGAACTAACTCAGTCCCATAAGGACAAATACTGTATGAGACCATTATTATAGAAATGTGCATGAGGATCCAAGGGAAGGAGGGTGGGCACAGAGTGGTGAGGAAAGGCAGGGGTTGGAGGAGTGGGCGATGCTTAATCATAGGGTCATACAATTTGATGTGTGGAGGGAAGGGTGGGTAAAGGAAATGGGAAAGATCCAGTGTGAAAAACAATATACATGATCTTTGAAAGTAAACCAGTACAAAATAAAAATTTTATTTAAAAAAGAAAGAGATATGAAGGATTGAGGATAATTGAGGTAATTATTGAGGTAATAGAGAATGTCATTCTAGAGGCAAACAGAGAAAAGTACCCAAGCAACACAGGACAGCATCATTTCATTCCTATTAGAGAGAAACCTAACTGTAGTTGTTTTTGCATGAACACTCCCGATAGTAAAAGTCATACTGTCATTACTGAGTAATACAATGTCAATCTGCTCCCTGCAATATCCTGTTGATATAAGTATCCTCTCAAAGAAAGCCATCTAAAAGACAATGAAGAGACATTTTTTTCATTTATGATTAATATGGCCACTATTAAGAGGTTTACCTATTTTACTAAAGCACATATTTCTTAGCAATTAGTATTATTTTTTTCATACATGTTATATATGATCCTGTGTCTATGACTGTGTACTTCCTTATTGAGCCTCACTTTCAAATCAGTTTATGACTTAAATTGGGTATCCTGAACAGGAGATTCCAAAAGGCTGCTCGGAATGACAAAGCAAAATACTACAATGAAATGTGCGAGGAACTAGAGTCAGAAAATCAAAAGGGCCGAACTCGCTC